TGTACCCAAAGGATTTTACGGTGCGGGGCTTCCTGAAGCAGTAGATGCCTTCCGAGCAACGTCGAAGTTTGGACTCCCTGAAGGCTTCCTTGGAGGAGGCGTGGAAGGAGCTTGACGTCAGCTACTTGCGGCCCACGGTGATGTCAGTTGAGAAGAGACTTGAAGCCTGTATCGCTGCCGAAGGAGGCCATTTCGAGCACTTCTTCAGCAATGTAATTGTTATGTTTACTGTATATAAAAATAAACTTCTGAAGATGTAATAGCTTCTCTTTTGGAAATATGGTCAATAAACCATGCGCCAATATTTAGTAGCCACCCTGTAATAGTTTGTTCCTCGGGAAATCAATATAGGAAGCCACGCTCAGCTGCCCAGACTGCTTTAGCAAATAGCGAAACGATCCACCCTAAGTTGTTCTGCAACAATTCTGTAGTGGACGAAACTATGGTCAGCTAACACCAAACTTAACGACGGGTCGTACATAGAGGAATGTAGTATATCAGAAGGTGCACTGTGCTCACCATCAGCGTTCAGTATAAAGCAGCCCAATTAGGTGCACTAACAAAGTTTGAAGTTGTCTTTCATTTCACTTATATCTTGAGAAAAACTCCCTACGAAGACAGTCTTTGAACGCCTCTCCTCCGGCTGTTCCAGCTATTTGTATCAAACCATAGCTGTCGGAAGCTTCATCCTAATAATGGGGGATTTTGCTGCTAGAGACTTAGGACACTTTCAGAGGCAGGCACTCCCCTAATGTACTCTACGCAATTTAACCACAATGTATGGCAAAGTAGGACGAAATTGATGCGACAATTTAATATATGCATATGGTGTGCAGAATGACTTTATTTAACACAGAAAAATTTGGTTATTATTTTCATTTATGGGAGAGATTACTGCTTGATGATGCTGCTTGGATGAAGTGGATCCGACGGAGAAATGAAAAATTTTCAGAATTGGTATGTCGAGTGCTCTCACCGCGTTCTACAGTTTGTTCCTCACCATTTCTGCCCTCGTTCTTGAACTTTCACATGTGCTCTCAGAAGAAGAGGAACGAGAAATCAACGCAAAAGACATGGTTAGCTCAGTTGTTCGTGAAAGATAATTCTACATTTCTGAAGTTAGTCCTCGATGGTCTATTAGGTTGGCCAGATTGAAATGTCGTTTTCGATCATCAATTATTTTCATTATAAAAACAATAATGAAGCACATCAACCTGAACCATCTCCTTCACCTGTGTCACAGGCTCATCACCTTTCGTTACGCAAGCATGGATGCCTACCGCGTAGAACTCTTTCTGGTTCGACTCGAAGAAGTTGGGCACTCAAATTTTGACGTCGTCGCGGTTATCGAATTGGTTTGCTGCTAAGGAGTGTTGCGCTGACCTGGGTCAGTGATAGTCGGACGGCGCCAGACCTGGGCTATATGGCGCTGGAGGTAGAACGTCCCAGCCCAACTCCTCGATTTCTTGTTGCGTGATTTTCACGACATGTGGTCTTCCGTTATGGTGCAATAGTTTTACATTGGCCGAATTCACCCCTTGACGACGCAGAGCTCGGTCCACGCGGCGGGCTGTTGTGCGCAGGCTTCAGCTGTAACTGTCTGACCCACAATCAGCTCTCCATAGTAGGCCAGTCTTATACTTTTCCACCACACCGTAGAACGACGTGGATGTCCGGTTTCAGAGAGGCCCTCAGCTGCCCATCAGCCGCCAACCACGGTCATCTTCTCGCGTTGTTATTGGGAAACATCTCTTTGTAAAATGCGGTCAACACGAAGTCAAGAACCTTTTTCCTCTTGAAGTTATGGAGCGAAGTTCCAGTATTGGCAACCAGTACTGCTTGCTCGCGTCGCTCAGAATAGGCCGAACCCCATTTTCTATCCTGAAAGGCCTTAACAGTCGCACGTAGGAACTTTTAAATTTTTCTGTTGACACAACTGAATCTCCATGCAAGTTTTGTGCGGTTTGTCGAGGACTCAATTCGTTGGCTTTCTTTATTTCTCCGTCATCTAGAGCTAGAGGTCAAAATCCACGATCTTCGTCCTCAGGTCCTTTACCTCAGTCTTGGAAGAGCTGAAACCATAGCTGAAAGTGCATCAGAGACTAAGTGTTACTGCTCAATGTTTTGCACACAATGAGTGAGATTCGTTGGCCGTTTTTCCTTGCTTGAATATATACGCTCAGACGATGATTTCTGATCAGTCATCTTCGAGCAAAAGTTTTGGCTCGAAGAACATCCGCTCAGTGGCGCCTAAGATTTCGCAATATGCGTGCTGAATCGCTCTCTCGAATGAATGGTCTCCCATCCTAAGAGATTGTGTTTAAGCTGAGAAACAAAGGCACAAACGGAAGCGACATTTCAATCTTGCTAACCTAATACTTTAATTGCATGAATTTATTTATTATTGCTTGAAATTTTCAATTTTATTGCGAAATATGAGACGCATAATGCAAACAAGCTAGTGTATATGAAAATTCAGGAGAACCGCAACGGGAGATACGCTTTCGGCTGAGAAAACTGTAGAGAAATATTTTTACTTGCTACTGCCACGTAGTTTGGAGTTAGCACACGAACACCAGCGGCCCAGCTTTTACCTCGAAATTGAGTAATCAAACAAGTACGCAGCGTTGAAACAAGCATAAATAAGAAAGCGAATACAAATCATCCACTATATAATAATCGCTAAGTATGTCGTGTGTGTAGGTCTGTCTGTGTGTGTGTTTGTCACGAAATTCATAGCTCGCGGTCACAGCAATGATCGCGCCATGGTTCTTACATATGTTATAGGGGGTGGGATGGAGGCTCAAGTGGTATGTGATAGGAACTGATAACGACTGATAATAGTGAAGAGGGGCTAGAAAGCGAGCATCGCCAATTTCGTTTTGTCGTTCATATTGGTACTAGAGCGTCTATACTTACAAGTGTTATGTGTGGGTGGTCCCGGGACAATGGTGGTACATGAATGGAAGCGATAGCAACTGATAAGGGCTGATAAGGGGCGTCAGAACGCAAAAGTCGTCGATTCCGTTACCCAGCTCGCGTTGACACCAGAGCAACCATACTCGCAAGTGTTATGTGGGATGGGACGTCGGACACCTGTGATGGTGCTGGAAGGATTGACAACTGATAAGGGCTGATAAGGGGCGTCAGAACGCAAAAGTCGTCGATTCCGTTACCCAGCTCGCGTTGACACCAGAGCAACCATACTTACAAGTGTTATGTGGGGTGGGACGGGGACATTGTTGGGGGTGATTGAAAGTGATTACAACTGATAAGGGCTGATAAGGGGCGTCAGAACGCAAAAGTCGTCGATTCCGTTACCCAGCTCGCGTTGACACCAGAGCAACCATACTTACAAGTGTTATGGGGTGGGACGGGGACATTGTTGGTGGGTGATTGAAAGTGATTACAACTGATAAGGGCTGATAAGGCGTCAGAACGCAAAAGTCGTCGATTCCGTTACCCAGCTCGCGTTGACACCAGAGCGTCCATACTTACAAGTGTTATGTGGGGTGGGACGGGGACATTGTTGGTGGGTGATAGAAAGTGGTTACAACTGATAAGGGCTGATAAGGGGCGTCAGAACGCAAAAGTCGTCGATTCCGTTACCCAGCTTGCGCTGACACTAGAGCGTCCCTACTTACAAGTGTTATGTGGGGTGGGACGGGGACATTGTTGATGGGTGATTGAAAGTGGTTACAACTGATAAGGGCTGATAAGGGGCGTCAGAACGCAAAAGTCGTCGATTCCGTTACCCAGCTCGCGTTGACACCAGAGCAACCATACTCACAAGTGTTATGTGGGGTGGGACGGGGACATTGTTGGTGGGTGATTGAAAGTGGATTACAACTGATAAGGCTGATAAGGGGCGTCAGAACGCAAAAGTCGTCGATTCCGTTACCAGCTCGCGTTGACACCAGAGCAACCATACTTACAAGTGTTATGTGGGATGGGACGGGGACATTGTTGGTGGGTGATTGAAAGTGGTTACAACTGATAAGGGCTGATAAGGGGCGTCAGAACGCAAAAGTCGTCGATTCCGTTACCAGCTCGCGTTGACACCAGAGCAACCATACTTACAAGTGTTATGTGGGGTGGGACGGGGACATTGTTGATGGGTGATTGAAAGTGATTACAACTGATAAGGGCTGATAAGGGGCGTCAGAACGCAAAAGTCGTCGATTCCGTTACCCAGCTCGCGTTGACACCAGAGCGTCCATACTTACAGTGTTATGTGGGATGGGACGGGACATTGTTGATGGGTGATAGAAAGTGGTTACAACTGATAAGGACTGATAAGGGGCGTCAGAGCGCAAAAGTCGTCGATTCCGTTACCCAGCTTGCGCTGACACTAGAGCGTCCCTACTTACAAGTGTTATGTGGGATGGGACGGGGACATTGTTGATGGGTGATAGAAAGGGATTGAACTGATAAGGGCTGATAAGGGGCGTCAGAACGCAAAAGTCGTCGATTCCGTTACCCAGCTCGCGTTGACACCAGAGCAACCATACTCCAAGTGTTATGTGGGATGGGACGGGGACATTGTTGGTGGTGCATTGAAGGGATTGAAACTGATAAGGGCTGATAAGGGGCGTCAGAACGCAAAAGTCGTCGATTCCGTTACCCAGCTCGCGTTGACACCAGAGCAACCATACTTACAAGTGTTATGGAGGGGTGGGACGGGGACATCATTGTCGGGTGATTGAAAGGGATTGAAAGTCATAAGGGCTGAAGCCATCCGTTACGCAGCTTGCGTAGATACTAGAGCGTCCCTACTTACAAATTCTATTTGTAGTGGTACGTGCACATTGTATCATTGTATGACCAGCTTACTTATAGCAGTCGATTGCATAAACTCAATCAAGTCTTCAGCAAATGATAAGTTTCATTTCTAATGCAATATCAAGAAAGCCCAAACTCATTGAACCGCTAATCCTTTCGGGGTTCTAAATAATGGTGAATGTAAATAAATGATAAGCCTTAGCTCCTCACTTATGTAAATAGGCATATTTCATTTTCATTTTGAGACTGACAGCAATCCTATTCACCGCTAAATTGTCCGAATTCACGAAGAATGCTGGATGTTTACAGTTGCGAGATAAATACCAGTTCAGCTCCAGACGTTATCACGCGTATTCTCGATGGACTTCAGCGAAACTGGAAAGGTCTAACACATTCAATAGTGAGGTGGTTAATGGAGTACCTCATGCTGATATTCCATGGGTCCTCCAGTTTCGCTAAAGCCTGCCGTGTGATGCGCGCGATAGCGGGCGAAGCAAAACTGGTGAAATAAAAGTGATTACATCAATAGACGAACATGAGAGGAAATCTGAAAGACATCCTACTATATATAATTCGCTAAGTATGTCTGTGTGTGTGTGTAGGTCTGTGTGTGTGTGTGTGTTTGTCACGAAATTCGTAGCTCGGGTCACAGCAAACGATAGCGCCATGGTTCTTACATATGTTATAGGGGGTGGGATGGGGACTCAAGTGGTACGTGATAGGAACTGATAACGACTGATAATAGCTGATAAGAGGGGCTAGAAAGCGAGCATCGCCAATTTCGTTTTGTCGTTCATATTGGTACTAGAGCGTCTATACTTACAAGTGTTATGTGGGGTGGTCCCGGGACAATGGTGGTACATGAATGGAAGCGATAGCAACTGATAAGGGCTGATAAGGGGCGTCAGAACGCAAAAGTCGTCGATTCCGTTACCCAGCTTGCGCTGACACCAGAGCGTCCCTACTTACAAGTGTTATGTGGGATGGGACGGGGACATTGTTGATGGGTGATAGAAAGTGGTTACACCTGATAAGGACTGATAAGGCGCGTCAGAGCGCAAAAGTCGTCGATTTCCGTTACCCAGCTTGCGCTGACACTAGAGCGTCCCTACTTACAAGTGTTATGTGGGATGGGACGGGGACATTGTTGACGGGTTATTGAGAAAGGTTACAACTGATAAGGGCTGATAAGGGGCGTCAGAACGCAAAAGTCGTCGATTCCGTTACCCAGCTCGCGTTGACACCAGAGCAACCATACTTACAAGTGTTATGTGGGGTGGGACGGGGACATTGTTGGTGATTGAAGTGATTAAACTGATAAGGGCTGATAAGGGCGTCAGAACGCAAAAGTCGTCGATTCCCGTTACGGCCGGCTAGCGCCTTCGTCGATTGAACACCAAAGCAACCTAACTCCAGGTTATGGGATAGGGACGGGACATTGTTATGATGGTGATAGCAATTCGTTAAAACAACACACCTGACAAGGACTCGAAAAAAGGCGCAGTCAGCGCGCACCAAGCCGTCCGAATTCCGTTACCCAGCTTGCTCCTGATACTAAACGCCCCTTACTTACGAGTGTTATGTGGACACTAGAGCGTCTCTACTTACAAGTGTTATGTGGTATGGGAACGGGGACATTGTTTATGGGTGATAGAAAGTGGTTACACACTGATAAGGACTGATAAGGCGCGTCAGAACGCAAAAGTCGTCGATTCCGTTACGCAGCTTGCGTTGACACCGGAGCGTCCCTACTTACAAGTGTTATGTGGCATGGACCGAGAAATTAGATGGTATTGAAGGGATTGAAACGATTAATGGCTTGATAAGGGGCGTCAGAACGCAAAAGTCGCCGATTCCGTTACCAGGCTCGCATTGACACCAGAGCAACCATGCTCACAGGTGTTATGTGGGGTGGGACGGGGACATTGTTGGTGGGTGATTGAAAGTGGTTACAACTGATAAGGGCTGATAAGGGGCGTCAGAACGCAAAAGTCGTCGATTCCGTTACCAGCCTCGCATTGACACCAGAGCAACCATACTCGCAAGTGTCATGTGGGGTGGGACGGAGATATTTGTGGGTGATTGAAAGTGATTGCAACTGATAAAGGTTGATAAGGTGCGTCAGAACGCAGAAGTCGTCGATTCCGTTACCTAGCTTGCGCTGGCGCTAGAGCGTCCCTACTTACAAATTCTATTTGTAGTGGTACGTGCACATTGTATCATTGTATGACCAGCTTACTTAATAGCAGTCTATTGCAAACTCAATCAAGTCTTCAGCAAATGATAACTTTCATTCCTATCAAGAAAAGCCCAAACTCATTAAACCGCTAATCCTTTCGGGGTTCTAAATAATGGTGAATGTAAATAAATGATAAGCCTTAGCTCCTCACTTATGTAAATAGGCATATTTCATTCTCCTTTTGAAACTGACAGCAAAAGATTCACCGCTAAATTATCTGAATTCAAGAAGAATGCTGGATGTTTACAGTTGTGAGATGCCAGTTCAGCTCCAGACGTTATCACGCGTATTCTCGATGGACTTCAGCGAAACTGGGAAAGGTCTAACACATTCAATAGTGAGGTGGTTAATGGAGTACCTCATGCTGATATTCCATGGGTCTTTCAGTTTCACTAAAGCCTGCCGTGTGATGCGCGCGATAGCGGGCGGAGCAAAACTGGTTATCCATAAGCATGTCTATGAAGGAAAAAAATGAATATCTAAGGCCTATTTATGCGGATATGTAAGGGCTTTAAATTTTTACTGAGAGGAAAAGGGAAGCGCGCAAATCACCAAGACGATTTCTGAGAACAGTTCAACATATTTAAAATCACTAAGCATCAAGGATAGCATTCAAATTTGGGTGCTACGGAGGCCGGTTACAATTTTTTTGATCATCAGTACTCCATGAATCCGAAAACGGTGCGTCCCTGCGTTGATATCCGTAGAGGAAGATAAGAAGAAGTGAACAACATGAAAAGAATCAAATGAGAAAATGAGTTGCCGCAGATTTGAGTTTAGGCATAGGACTGCCAACCCATTTCAACCGCTATTTCTAATCAGGAACTACGTGCTCGATTCGCCTTTAAATCGGCCCAATGTTGCCGCAGCTAAAGCTGCAAATTCATAGTCGGTTCTTTGAAGGCCTTTCTTGCTGTGGACAGCAATCCCGTGCGCGCGGGTTTCGTTTGAAATGACTCAGAGCCAGCAACTGCTGTCATCAAACCACTTCAAAAGAAACCCGCGAATGATGGAATAACCACGATGTGCTATGTGGTGTGCTGCTGTTTCCGTTAACCCACATCTGCTCAGATTAGCTCATATCGTGGAACTCTAGCGCCTAAAATCGGAAGCACATATCAGGAATTTTCCATCATCGGCACCGCAATTCGGCGTCTGACCCACCGTGGGTGAAGGTCCATTTAGCTGAAGTGTGTTTCGTACATGTTGGCAAATGGACATGTATCAAACTTGGCCTGATTTGTTTCAGCGGTCATCATGCAATGCTACTTGAAGAGATTGAAAATTTCGGGATAGAGGCAAATGGATAACTGAAGGTAAACCCAGGGGTATAATGATTAAGAGCACTGTGTAGTGAGAGTGGGCTGAGCTGCGGAATAAACTGAAAGATTTCTGAGAGTTGATAAAGCTGCTTGGAGATTCTCTTGCGTAGGTTGCTTTATGCGCCGAATGTTTGGCATAGGCCATTTTTGCGCTCAGTTTCTCGCAACTCTAGAAAGCTGGAATTTGGGGGATGTCGTATGGTTTTGCAACATAGCGTAGCTCTCTCACAAGCATAGCTCGTGTAGTCAGTTTGGGGCGGGTGTGTGGGCGCAAACGTACCACTGTTAGGTCCTCTTTCAAGCATTAACTGAGCACACATAGAAACATTTCATCAAAACAGTAGTTCCCAACGTATTGGCCGTATGGAGTAGAGACATGTTCAATCTCTACTCAAGTATTTCTCATTTGGAACTGGTTCCATCACAGAGCCCTTTCCGTTCTCTATTATAGGGAATTATATCTTGACGTCATTTTAGGTGAAACTGTCTTTTGTCAACAGAAGTTTTCACTTTCCAGGTACGTGTAATTCGTAGGAAAAACAAACGCTACGGTAGGGTTTAGCATCGAAGAATATCACTTTAATCAGCGCAATATTTTACGGAACGATTCCCCTTCTTTAGTTACTAATTCCGAGTTGTATATCATATAAAAAAAGCATTGTATCTATAATGTTGCTTTTACTGTTACCGGATTTATCAGTAATTATCAGCCCAAGATCTATGTAAGTTCTTTGAAAAGACCGGACTAGATGACGTCTCATCCCTTTTTAGATATTTGGAATGTACATGTACGGCACTTCGATCATGTTCTTCATTTACATGTACGTAGTATTGCTTCTCGATCCTCGATGGTACTGGACAATGAATATGTTGCAGGTAATTTTTGTTTTATTCGGATTATTTTACTTTCGAAGTAATCTCTCTTTTTCTCTACTTTCTTTAGTTTCTCTTTTTTTTACTTTCGCATGTGCAGCAGAATTAATGAACATCTACATTAATGATGAAGCAAACGACAAAATGAAATCGTTTATTGCTTGAAGGGCTTTTCTGTCTACGCTGGTGAGAGTACAATTTGCTAAGTTTCAATGCTTTGAAAATGACGATTTCAGATATTAACGCTCACAATGAATTCTTGATATCCTCGATTCCAATTATGTCGGTTTCACAATTTGTTCATGGTATTCAAAAAGCAACCGAGGAGAGCTATTCCACTGCAACGTGGCTTGTGAGGAAAAGACGGTTTTGAACAGTTGCGCTGAAATGAGAAGGAAATTATTCTGAAGCTCTCTTTAACTGCCTACTCTGGGCCGATAAACAGCAGAAACATGAAACATTCCCGACAATATGAGATCATCACAGGAACTCAGCACACTAATTTCAAAGTTGACATTCCTCACCAGGAAGGCGCTGGGAAACCAGTTAAGGGTGAGGCGGTACTTCCGAATGTGATTATACACCACAGTAAACCTGGAGTTACGTGGATACTTGCACTGGTAAACCTTAACTATGAAAAACCTGACTACTTATGTAGCTGTTTAGACCAAAGTTAGCTCTATGTGCAGTGCTCAGCCGATGTGCACTTGAGGTACCATGTTTGATTTTGGTTCCGCACGCTATGAGCATATAACGCAGCATGCTTGACTATATGGACGTGGCTATCAAAACTCTAGAATTTAGCTTAGGAAGTAGTTCATCTCCTCTCCTATTCTCCATACACTGCTGATTCTTTCCCGATGTTCGGAGTGTGGAAGCGGATTATAAAATATCCTCTCTGGGGATTTTCAGAATCGAATGCGAATGTTTGTAAAAACTCCGTCTGAAAGATTGCTAAGCCCATTAATAGGTGGGCCTCTTCTTAGATCTGTTTAGTGCTTTGGAAACTTTGTGTATAGCCCTTGCGCGTCAAATTATTCAGCCTCTACTTCATTATAACCAAGTCATGAAGAAATATGCACTTTCAACCGAAGCTCAGCTCACCGCAAGTGGGCCTCCCTATTCACCACGTGTACAGATTTACCCATTTTCTCCGATCACTGGAGCTTTTCTGGTCCAAGAAGAAATGCTCATCTGCGGTAGTCGTGCAAGCTCCGCACGCTCTTGGTGTGGCTCCGCCCAGCCAGTCGTGCATCATATTAATATCCCATGCGTTTACAAACTGATCGGTCTCACCAATTGGCTTTCCAGATAACATCGAATTTGCAAAGAACTACAGAGAAGAAGCGTTTTAAAGAGCGTGGTGTGTTTTGCATTTTTCCGGGAAAGTAGTGGACATGTCGTTAGAATTGCAGTTCCCTATTCAGCAGAAAGAAAATGCGAAACCTATCTCATAGACACTTCCGTTTGGTGGAACAAGAGAGGAGCGAAATTGGCGAGTGAGATTGTGTACTTCAACAAACTTGACAAAATTGACGCTACTGGAAAGGAATCTCGCTGTTATTAGCAAGGGTGCTTATAATGTGTTGAGAAACCAGTGCTGAGCTACTCCATGGGTTTTTCAAGATTTGAAAAGATGTATTCTGTATCACTCATCCTCTGAGTCATAACCATCTCAAAACACGACTACGTCGCCGTGTCCCTTCTGGTTTTTCCACAGATAACAACAAGCAGCCTGATATCGTGTTCCATGCGATAATAGAAACTTAATACAGTATTGTAATTCAATACAGTATTGGTATCTCATGCAGTTTGATTGACTTCCGTAAAATATTATTTTCTGTAAAAGTTCTGGGTCAAGTGTTCCATAGATTGATTACATGTGGCAGAAAAAATTATCCATATTAGCATGTGATGCAAAAACAAACAACTCCCTTTTATCCATTCCGATTATCAGCCAATGGAAATTCTTGTTAGACAATTTTATCCTTCCACACAGGTTTAATGCAGCCTGCCGACAAGAAATAATCAACGTATGAAAACCAGTTTGAGTATGGAAAAGGTTCGATTTTCTATTTCACACAAGAAGGCCATGTGTGTGCAAACAATGTCACTAGTCACTTCTTTACATGTTCTGACTGAATTCATAATATTTTTTCTTTACCAGCGACTGATTGAGAACAAGCTCAAAGGAAGCGATTACGATAGATCTCACAGGGGTTTAGAGGGGACGTGGGGGTCTCAATAGTACGCCAATGGCGAAAAAAGCAAAGAAATCCGTCAAAAATAAGCAAAATAGTACCCCTTTGATTGCCCTTTCATTTTCGACCATGGATGAGCGACGGTAAAGAACGACGTTGTTCGGACGTGTTAACCCCGATAGCCGCCATCATGCCAACAAGCATAGTGTTTTGATTGATAAGGCAATACGTGGGCAAGTTGGAAGATACAGCCGCTAGAAGGGAAATGATCATCCAAAATGAAAAGCCAACAGCAAACAGTCCATCCAGATCATCAACAAAACTAGTGGGCGTCACGTCACTGGGGGCGGGGCGTCACGCGGGTCCTGCTCAGCAACCACAGCACCTTTCGCCGTGGGAGGGCCACACATCGCTTCCTTGGCAGCCAAGTAATTGCTCCGTGTGGCGCAGGTTCTCCCCCGATGCGAAAATTCCTTATCGTAATCGCTTCCTTTAAGTAGTCAGGCTTGAAAACGACAGCTGAGTGATTCACAAATACCGTGCAGACAGTGTTTTGCAGAGTTTCTTGAAAAAACCTGAATCGAAAGAATCCTCACTGTGCTCTACTGTAATTACAACAAGGAAAGTAACACATTCCGGAACCTCGACTGGGAGTCTTTTCCTCAGATTCGGCTGCGTCGGTAAGCGACAATTTGGAAGTGATTTCATCGATGTGTTTCAGGAAAATCTCTTTGTTTACAGTATTCGGTGTCATTGGGGTAATTTACTACTCCTTTCTGGTTTTTCTGTGCGTTGTCGACTCAAGCTGCTCCGCGTTCACAACCACTCTCGATGTATGCGCTATCGTATTCATTTTCATACAGATGCACTTCATTTTCTGTAATTCAAAGGTCAGTCTTATTTGTATCTGGCTATCCCTTCGAAGACCTTTCCGTAGAAGCATTGGATGAGAATGAAAAAAGTAATAAAGGAAAGCTATGATAGACGGGAGCCCCCTCTCTCAAACTAGCAGGGGTTCGGAAAGAGGAGTGGCCGGACGAGTTCTCTGAATTTGGTTTCCATCGCGGAAAATGCTGTTTTTTGTCAACAAGCCCCCTGAGAAAAATTTCCTGCGTGCGCATACATACGCGACCCGAAGGTGCCGTTCACGATCTTTCGAGTAGGTAAGGAGTAGTGATCAGACCATAACGTTGGCACAGTGTCTACGTAGGCGCACGAGTTGGCAGTAATTAGGAGCCTGACGCAAGTATATCAACTTACACAATAGGACCATACACTGTCAAGCCTATAGAATTTGCGGAGATGGTAATGTGTCGTAGGTGTTCCATTTTGCAATGAATAAATCAGCATTTACAGAATTCTTTTTGAGATAATCTAAAACGAAAGAATTGGTACTTATCAAGGAGTTTCTCCGAGCGCAAATGAAATGCAGCGGGGGAAACGCAGTGGTATATCATTTTGAGACGAAGGAAAAGAAGGTTTTTTTTTGAAAAAAAAGAATGGAGAGAAAATTTTTGGTGTTAATCTGCTGGAATTGTGTATCAGTGCGAAGTATTATGTACGAATTAATGTGGGTAGTATTCAATAAATGTATACGATTTTCACCAACTTTTGGGCTAATATGTCATCATAAGAGGCGGTGTAGTTTCACATGCTACGTAAATCTGGCAATAAACAGTTTTATGAAAATTTGGTACTGGGGCCGTATGCTATCCTTCCCCGAAGCTAGGTGATCCAAAGTTTCCTTTAAATTTATTTGTTTTGAACGATATAGTTTCTTCATTTTCAGTGCATGTTTACTTTAACCTACATACATACATTAAATGTAGGCCCTTTATCAGGACAATCCCAGTTGGGAAGACAGAGAAAATTTAAAGGGATTTTCGTCCCTAAACCCTTCAGGGAGGATAACATGGCACCTGGCCTATGTAGGATCGTACAAAAACTGTGAATGCAATCATAACTGCACCTCCAGCGCACCTACATGCACCTCCATACACGATGAGACTAAACTAATTTCCAGCTATCTATCACTGGGCATCATCCAATAGCACGCTTTGGTACCATGCACCTCATAGCTGCCAATCTGTGGACATGGATAAGATATGTACTGTTGGAAGAAGGGGCAATGGAGAAAGAGATCAGGTAAGTATGGTTCTCGGC